CCTCCCCACTGGAGGCTCGCCTCGCGCTGCTCCCTCCACCTCTGCTCAGGCTACTCCCCTTGCCCCTGCTCAGCGGCTTCCATCCTCCTCTAGTCTCACCTTAATGTCTCCTTCTCAAGCAACACTGGCCTCTGGGTACTCACACAAGTCCTGTCCATCCTGAAAACCAAACAAAAGTCCGCCCTCCAACCCAAATCCACACTTCCTCCAGCTCCTGTTCTCACTTCACTGCCAAACCACCAACACTCATGTCTCGTCTTCCCGCTCACTCACTCAAACCCCACAGCACACCGGCTTCTGCCCAGCACTCCAGCGGGAGTGCGCCCACCATAGTCATCCATAACCCTCTTGTCATCAAATCTAAACGTTCGCCTTGTAATCCTTATGCATGCTTGACCTCTGAGTGGTGTTTAGCCACAGAGGCATCTAAAAAGAGGAGCTAGTTGTGGCGTAAGACTTGGGATTACTCAGGAGGTGGGGTAAGAGACAGGAAGGAGGATGGCTCTTAAAGGCCAGGTAGGAGACCGAGCACAGTGTTGGGGGCAGTGGGGCAGAACCATCCCTCTCTTGAAAATCATGCCTTGTTGGAAGTATGGTCACAGACAGATCCGGATTCAAGTCCTAGCTCTGCCACATATCAGTTGCATGTTTTGGAGTAACTTTCTTAGTAGGTCTGTGTCTCAAGTTTCCTCATCCGCAAAAGAAAACCACCACCAGTACCTGCCTCATTGAGTGTGGGGATTAACTGACAAAATATTTAAAGCCTTAGCACAAAATAAATTGATGGCTCATCCATATAGCAGAACACTGTTCCAGTCTTAGAAAATGATAGCACAGTTAGGCTCTGTGCTCAGTAGGGAGTCTGCTTGAGGTTCTCTCTCTCTTTCTGCCCCTCCCCATCCCCCCCCCCAGCTCTCGCTTTCTCTCAAGTAAGTAAATAAATCTTTAAAAAAAAATGATAACATAAAGGTGTGCTTGCTGGCATTTACTAGCACAGAAAGATGCCCAACACATGAAGTGAATGGGCAGCATACAAAATACTCCTTTTTGTAAATGAACAGAGACCAACAGTTCAGAAATTTACAGATGATTATTTTTGGCTGGTGAGCTTACTGGTGTTCTTTTATTTTATTGTTTTAGCTTCCTTGAGTTTTCTAGCTTCTCTACAATTAGCTCATATGACTTATATGAAAGAAAAGGTTTCTATGACCAAAAAGTACAAGCATATGGTAAGTGCTCAGTAATTAGCTATTATGATGATGATACTTTCTAGGAGCCTGCAGAGAAAAAGAGCCAGGGTCCGCTTGCCCTGAGGAGGCCGGGCTGGCTCCCTGCCACTAGAGAGGAAAGACACCCATGACTTAGATTTGGGTAGAGAATGCTTTGCCCACATTGGCTCTCAGCCCTAGGTTCATTTTAGCTCAGGTTAAAAGCAGCTCTGTACTTTGTCCAGCTTTGGTCATCAGAAATCTGAATTAGGACAGGGGAGTCAAAGCTCAAAGTAATAAACTATTTGCACAATCTCTTCCTGTGACCATTAACTCTGCTAGAGAACCACGGCAGGGCGGGGGGGGGGGGCAAGATCGGTGTGTGAGACCCCGTGTTCCTGTGCGTCTTCTCCCCCTCTCATCCCACACACCACGGGCTGTGCTGCTACCTAGGGATGGGTAGTTATGCTTTACTGCAATGTTCAGAAAGAACGTCCCAAACGCACCCCCAAGAATATTAAACCTGGCGTTGCTACCTGCAACGGGAAAAGAAAAGGACTCCGGTTTGAGACAGAATTGACAGTAAGAAGTAACACTTAATTCTGCAACGAGTTCACCAAGGGGTGGTGGTACCCCAGCCAAGGGAAAATGTGGAATCGGAAGTGGGAGAAGTTCTGACTTATGGGATATCAACCCCAGGAAGAAGGGACAGAAACCAGAACACTGGGGGGAAAGAGGAAGGAAGGAAGGAAGGAGAAGAGGCACAGGAGAGCGCGAGCGTCAGCCTGCGGTCCTGCGGGATTAGCGGGATTGGGGGGGGGGGGACGGACACGGACGCCCGACTGCAGAGCGGAGGAATCAGGTGGGGGGTGGGGCAAAATGTGCAGGTAAGCAAGCACTTCTGTGCCAGGGAAGCAGTGACCTTGTCCTTCAGCTCGTTAGAGCATAAATTCAAGAAAAACAGGTTTTGCATTTCGCTGACTACAGGATAAAAAAATAAGTTGACCCTGGGGGCGGGAGGGGGAGGGAGGGGAAATAATTCATGGGAATACATGTATCAACCTAGGACCTCCGAGGATTTAACATAACATCTGAGCGCCTAGCCCAATGCCTGGGAAACAGGCATCCGGGGCCCCAGGGATTGGGGGAAGACGGCGTGCGTGCACGTGCGGGTGCACACATACACAGACAAGTTTTCAAATGTGAACCAGGTGCAGAAAGGACGGGGCAGGAATATCAAAGAAATCTCTGAGAAAGGCTTACATGTCCATAGAGAAAAGATACTGTATAGTCACTGCATAAATAAGTAGGCAGATATTGAAAAACTAAGCTCTCTATTCATATGAACATGGAAAGGTCTTCAAAAATACTGTAGAGGGGAAGGTTAGAAAACAGTATTACAGGGGGGCCTGGGTGGAGTCTGCCTTCGGCTCAGGTCGTGATCCCAGGGTCCTAGGATAGAGTCCATGAGCAGGGAGCCCACTTCTCCCCCTGCTGGTGCTTTCTCTCTGACAGATAAATAAATAAAATCTTAAAAAAGAAAAATTACAGAAATCTGAATTATATATGTTTTAACTATGTATGTGCATATGTAAACACAAAAAAAGAATGGGAAGGACATATGCCAAATTTTAGCAATGGTTGCTTCTGGCGAGAACAACATAAGTGAGGAGGGCTAAGGAAGACTTGTATTTGGTCTTTATCATCATTTACTTTATTGTTCACAATAAAGCATGTATAATACTTGCATAATTTTTAAAATAGAGCACTGTCGTCCAATAAAAGATGAAGAAACAAAATTTGAGTTTACAGAACCTACTAAATTTTCAAGTGAAAAATTAACTTATCTTCTGCAATGAAAAACAGAAAAGGCACAGTGGAAGAGATGTTCATAAATATCTCTCTTAATACCATCCACAAAGGTGCCCTCAATCTATTAAAACTTCTAAAAATATCTGTAAATCCTTCTTCATCATGTGACCTGTGGTGGAGGGGGGATATCAACAAACAGGATGGTTTCCTGAATAAAACATTTTCTTTATTCAAAAATATAAAGTGATGACTCTAGGATAGGTTGAAACTGTAATTCAGTCTTGGTTTGCTGTAGTGGGGGGCAAGCGGCTCCATTTTGGGGCTTCTTTTTTTTACCATATCCTTTTATAATAAATTGGTAATCAAGTAAAACAAGTTAGAAGTATACACATAGATTAATATATGTAAAGTGATCATGTATACTTTCTCCTAATAGTGTAAATATTGTTATTCTTCCTCTGGATCAGTGATTCTCAACCAGGAGTAACGTTGTCCTCCCAGGAAATATTTGGCAATGTCCGGAAACAATTTTGGTTGTCTCCACTGAGGGCTGGGGGAGGGTATTACTGGCATCTAGTGGGTAGAGGTCAGGGTGCTGGTAAACACCCTACAGTGCAGAGGACACCCCCCTACAACAAAGAATTATTCAATCTAAAAAGTCGTTGCTGCAAGGATGAGAAACCCTGCTCAAAACCTAAAATCGTAATGCTATTTTAAATATTGAGAAAATAATTTTCAAAAGTAAAAAATGACACATTAAAGTTATTCTTTTATAAGTGGAATTAGGTTGGGATGCCTGGGTGGTTCAGTTGGTTAAGGTCATGATCCCGGGATCCGGGGATTGAGTCCCCCATTGGACTCCTTGCTCAGCAGGGAGACTGACTAGCTTAATGTTCACGCCGACCCTCAAAGGTAGATCTTGTGGTTACAGTTTTAGAGATCAGGAAACTGAAGCAGAAACTTTAAGTGACTTGTTCATGGTTACAAAGTTCTCCCTCTGCCTGCCGCTCCCCCTGCTTGTGCTCTTTCTCTCTCTCTGACAAATAATTAAATAAAATTTAAAAAAATACAATAAGTGGAATTAGGTTAAAGAGTATGGGTTTGAAAATAAAAATGTTGGGGGACGCCTGGGTGGCTCAGTTGTTGGGCGTCTGCCTTCGGCTCAGGTCATGATCCCGGGGTCCTGGGATCGAGTCCCGCATCGGGCTCCCTGCTCAGTGGGGAGCCTGCTTCTCCCTCTCCCTCTACTGCTCCCCCTGCTTGTGCTCGCTCTCTCTCTCTCTCTGACAAATAGATAAATAAAAATCTTTGGGAAAAAAAAAAAATGAAAAGAAAAATGCTGGATTGACAGTCCTTAAAAATTCAAGTCAGAATCCTGGTTACCAACTTTGTAACCATGAACAAGTCACTTACAGTTTCTGCTTCAGTTTCCTGATCTCTAAAACTGTAACCACAAGCTCTACCTTCGAGGGTCGGCGTGAACATTAAGCCAATCTCAGCCCACCGCTCCACTACCCGTGTGGCCCATAGCGGAAAGGCAATCAACCTTCATTCCCATCCTTCTCTTACTCCCCTCCCCCTATGATCCATTCCAATCACACCAAATTACAACCATGGTCTCACCAGAGATTTAGGATGATACAATGATGCATACATTTCAATAGTAATGTGATATTAACATGCTAAATAGTATTATGACCAAAAATAATGAAAGTAGAAGGATTAAACGTTTTATTTGAAAGACTAGTCACAAAAAAAAAAAGATTAGTCACAATTTCTCCTTCATTTTAAAGGAAAAAATTCACATAGAATCCTTTTAATCTGAATACATCTAGTCTCTCAAAAAGCCACACCCACCATTGGAATGAAGGTGAACCGAGTCCTACAAAGGGAGGGAGAAACCAAGGCAGGAATCAGGATGGCAGGTCTCCAGTTCACCACGACCATTCAACAGGGGCAGAAGATAATGAAGGGACCTACTTTGGTGGTGATCCTATACGTAATGTAGGTCTCCATCGTACAGACATGCTTCTTGGGGTCGTCAACTGTGACAAAGAGATCTCTGGTCTCGCCATCGATGTCATCATCAAGCTGAAGTCTGTTGAGAAGGGAAGATGAAGAAGCTGGACTCGAAGTACCTGCTGGAGTACCACCGTTGGGCAAAATGAGATCCTGAAAGAAGGAAAGAGTCACCTTACAATTAAATGAAAACACACTGTCTGGAGAACATCAGCAAAAGTGCCTCGTGTAGCCAAACCAAGAAACACCTCTACATACAAAAGTAAACGTTCAAAGAAACTGAGCCTCTCCCTACTAAGTGTTTCTTGAGTGCACAGGTCTTCTGGGACCGAGGGAAACAAACTATGGGAGTGCTCTGTGCCAAATTCACGCCGACTCATCTTCCAGCAAGCACTGAAGGAACCTCCAAGATGCACACAGCTCAGGGACAGAGAACCTAACAGCCCCCACCATGGTCAGACTTCAACGGAGAGAGAAGGCCAGGAGCACACCACAAGAGCATTCTCTTTCTCCCCCTTTCTCAAGACCACCACCTGGGCCCAGGGCAACATTAACAGATCTGAACCCTCTTAAATACTTGGCACATTTAAAAACTCAATCAACCATCACAAAGAGACAAGTAAACATGACGTGCCTCCTAAAAGAAGTTCACACTGCCACCTAAAAAGCATGCTTGCCCAAAAATTGGATCCGAATCCTGAACAAATCTCTAGACACAACACCAATTTGTAGGAAATACAGAGGAGTTGAGGGAGATGTGAAACCATACTATAAGGATGCAATCAGCAGAACCCATGCTGTGTGAAATTAAACCAAGGACCCAGTTTCTTCAATAAATGAACTGCGAGGAGAAAAAAAAAAAAAAAAAGACAGGAGCACCTAGAGATGCAAAGCAATTCAAGAGACCTATTAACAACTGCAGCAGATCCTGATTAAAACAAAATGTTAACAGATTTTGTGATATTCAGGGAAATGTGAATACTGATCAGTTATTTGAGGATATTAAGGAATTATCAGGCATGGTAGTAGAAGTATTATGATTTTACAAAGTCCTCATCTCTTAGGCATATATGCTAAAATATTCATGGATGAAATGATAGGATGTGTGGTATTTGCTTCAAAATAATGAAGGATGCATAGAGGGGGATATAGATGATACAAGATACGCCCCAAAGTTGATAACTGCTGAAGCTGGGACTTGCAGGTTCATGACACAGTTCCCTCCTCTTTTGTGTATGTGTAGATCTGTCCACAATATAAAAGCTTTAAAAGGGGGGGAAGAGGTACAAATGCCAGAAAGGAAAGAGAAGGAAAATTTTTTTAAATCATGGACCTCTTTCTCTTTAGGCCTTAGGAGGAAGTCACTTGATTAAGTTACGTTCCTACAATATCCAAAAAAGGTACAGTCTTACCTTTTTTGGTTTTTAGGTTTAATAACAGACAAAGCCCTGTCTAGCAGTAGATGTGAACGCATCTGAATGTCACCGTAGATTCATCAGGAGGCAAACACAGGAATAAGGCAAGAAAGTGACAGGACACCATGGAAAAGGCCTTGGAAACATTCTTGACCACCTGATCACAGGTCATCTGATCACAGGTCATCAGATCACAGGTCGGAGGTGGGGAGATGCTTTCCCTGAATTCTCTTCTTGTATGTAGGTTGGATTTGACTTAGCTCCCAGATAAGAGGACACAGAGGAAACGAGAGGTCAACCCAGCAGTCACATCTACGAGCTCTAGCTGATCATGGGACATCTAGGAAGAGGGCTGTGACAAGGTAGAGGGAAGTATGGTCTGGAGTCAAGGGCAATGCCCCCCCCCCCCCACTCAGGGGATGATGGAAAGTAAACAGATAAGGCACCTTCCTTTGTCTCCATTTCTACTGACTGCAGAGAATTTAATCACATGCATATTTACGCAATGTCAAAAATATTTTTGTAGTTACTGAACGGATACCATTTTCACAGAAGATACTTGTGGGAAGAGACCCCACTCTCCACTTCTCCCCAGCGAGGGGGCTGGTCAAACCCCACAGCAGCTGCCCTCGGTGCGGACAGGACTGCAGGGTCAGCAGCAGCAGGGTCCAGCTGATCTGACTGCTCTATCATAAGCAGACAGGCACCACTGGGTGTGCACTGTCCACGCCCCAGCGTCGGGGGGTGCACTGTCCACGCCCCAGCGTCGGGGGGGTGCACTGTCCACGCCCCAGCGTCGGGGGGTGCACTGTCCACGCCCCAGTGTCTGCGGGTGCACTGTCCACGTCCCAGTGTCTGGGGGTGCACTGTCCATGCCCCAGTGTCTGGGGGTCTGCAAGGACATCGCCTCTGGAACTCCGTGATCACCATCGTGTCTCCCTCATTTCAGTACGTAATGTTTAAACAACGACCTCAGGCAAGGCACCACGCTAGGCACTGCAGGGGCCCAACCTTGCTTACATTTCATCAACACTAGCATGTGGGGCCTCAAATCGGCTCTAGCCATGGCTGGACACTGCACAAGAGAAAGAAAGAACTAAAAATCTTTAGTCAGCTAAGCCACCGACAGCAGCTCTGCACCGTCTGGCCTCGAAGGATCTTACCAGCCTTGTTTCTAATGGCAGCCGTTCCAGAAACCACCATGCTGTTTTGTACCCCTCACCTTTGCTTGCAAAGCCACCTGTCTTTCTTACGTAGTGGTCTCCAAGTATCTCACTGGAATCTGCTCAAATGCTCCCTCCTCTTGGAATCCTTCCTTGATTTGCCCCCTGACAAAATTAGTCAATCTTCTCAGTTCTTTGAAGATACTCCCACTGAAGCAGTTTTCACAGTTCTAATCATTTATTTATATATGTAACATCCACAAACACCGCAAGTCCCCAACAACTACGACTGTGCCTCATTAACCTGTGTGTGTGTGTGTGTGTGTGTGTGTGCGTGCGCGCGCGCGCACACGCGCACGCATCTGTCTGTCTATCTGTCTGTGTGCCGGTCTCCCAGTGGCTCCAAGCCAACTTGCCTGACCTTTGCTCTGGGGACCTCTGCCAATAACTTTCCAAAAACAGCTCACACAAAGGTTGGAGATGTCTCGGCCAGACAGCTGGAAGTTAACTTGTTCTCAAGTCAGGTCACAGGGGTGGGGTGAGGGGAGGGGAGAGTCAGTCAAACAGATCTTATCACACTGAAGAGTCTTTCCTCCTAGGACTGTGTGACCAGGGAACCAATCCCACCCTTACTATCATCAGGTGTTTCATGGGCCATTATGTAAGCACATACAACTAGCCAGTGACTTACAAATGTCTACAATTTCCTAAAACTGGACCCCGCCAGCTGGGCTTTCCATGGCACACGTGTACACAATGCTTCCATGTTCTTATTTCATCGCAGCTCAGGGCAGCCTTGTGAGGTTAGCAAGACAGATAACATCTCTACCGAGAAGGAGGTAGACTCCAAAATGTCAGGTATCGCGTCCAAATGAAGCTAGTCATCGCTATGCTAAGAGCTGAACCCAGGTTTCTAGTTCTGAGTTCAAGGTTCTTATCAAGCTGAATGCCTTTTGTGTGGCTTTTTCCAACCCAACAACGCCCCATATCTCCATTATCTGGCCATAAATCCTTCTGGGTAAACACGAAGCTTCTGTTTTTAAAGCCAATCAAGGAAAGCTAACATTTCCCTGAGAGTCTTAATACAAGTTATGCCCTGAGTGACTCCGCCTCAAGATACAGTCCCCATGAGAAGTAAACGTGGAAGGAAAATATGAGAATCTTAGGAGGAAAAGGTCAGGGATCCCTGAGTCCTCTAGCAGCAGGTGTGCTACGCTAAGAGACCTAAGTTCTAGAGCAGGTGCTGTGGAACGGCAGCACCTTTCTGACCAACATGAATTACAGAATGCAAGAAGTGAGAGAATCCTTGGCTCAACACAAAAACCTCCTGTTTCATTTTCACTACCCTATAGTCAGGCTTCCACCCTGCAGCCAGAGAGCTCTTTGAAAAATCAAAGCATGTCACTCTCCAGCTCAAAACTCTCAAAGACATCCAATCACATTCAGAATCAAACCCAAACTCCATCCCGTAAGGGCCAATGGGACCTCATCACTCTTCCCTGACCTCATCCTTGACATTCTCCCCCTAGCTCATCCTGCTCCAGATGCACAGGTCTTGGCTCATTTAGACCTCAGGGCTTCCGTATTTGCTGCCCACTCTACCTGGATCACTCCTCTCCCCTCACATTCCCATGTGGTTGGCTTCTCTCTTCAAATAGGTTTCTGCTCAAATGACACGACTCAGGCCTTCTCAGCCCACAAAATCTAAAAATATCCCTGCACCCCTCTATCACTTTCCAGCCCCTTCCCTGGCTTTATGTTAGTCAAAGACTATCACTATCTGAAAACTTATTATGTATTGACTATCTGACAAGAGCAGAGACTTTTGTCTTATTCATTCCGCTATCCTCTGGCACATAGTAGGTACTCAGTAAGTACCTGATAAATGAAAGAGTCTTAGAAATAATCCAATTCAACCCCTTGCCAATAGCAGGGACTCAATAAATCAACTGAGCTTAGCAATGACTAGGCAGTTCTGAAGGCCAGTTCCACTATTTACAAGCTGTGTGACTTCAACAAGTTTCTTAATCTCTCCATGCCCTAGTTTCCTCATTTATAAAATGGGTATAATGGGATTGAGTGAGTTAGTATATGGAAGCAATTGGAACAGTGCCTGGAACAGTGGGTGCTAAAAAAAAAAAAAAAAAGTGAAATCAACTTGTCTGCAAGTTTTCTTGAATCCCCCTAGAAGCTACGTGGCTGGATTCACAACAGATACTTAATAAATGCTGTTGAAAATAAAAATTGTATCAAGAGTCATTGTTGGTGCCTCAAATACACTTTCCTTAATGATTTTACTATAGCTACAGTAACCCTTGTGAAAATTACAACTACATACTTGATAAATAAATGAAAACTCCTCATTGTTCCAAAGTATCAATTCTCACTTATGCAGGTTTCAGTTATAAGTGAATTTCTTCTCCCCGCTCTACCCCTTTCTACCTAGGAAGAGAAACACATACATAAGCTGCTTCAGAAACCCCTCTGGTTCAAAGGCTTTCAGTTGTTAGACCTACCATTGTAGTCAGCCAGCCACGAGATAGATTATTAAATTAACGTAAGTCACTGGCAAAAC